ACCCGCCGCCATCCCGGCCCTCCGGCCCGTCTGTTAGCGGCGCGGGGCCATCGCCGCTCGCACTGCGCCTGCGCGGGACTCGGCGCGCGGGGCCAGTCGGGAACTTCTCCAGTGCAGACTGCAGGTCCCGGCGGGCCTCGCGCGGCGGTGTCACGTGCGGGATGTCACGTGCCGGAGCGGACCAATAGTGCAGCGGCTTGCAGCGGCGCGTGGGATTGAGGCCAATGGCAAAGCGGCTTTTATTTCTCGCAGCGACGGCGCGGAGTAGAGATGGCGCCGCCTGTGCGCTACTGTGTACCCGGTAGGTGTCCCGCTCCGCCCCGGCAATCGGGGCCCGCTCTCCCCCCTATCCGCCTTCCTCGCTAATCCCCCGTCCCGCAGGGGAGCGGCTCTGCAGCTTGGATGAGGCGGCCGCGGGCAGTGGTACCTACACCCGGCGCGGGCACGTGCACGCCGCACTGGCCGGGGCTCTCCTCGCCCGCGACCTCGGCGGCCCGGTGAGCGGAGCGGGGGGCAAAGCTCGGGTCCCAGGCTGGCGAGGGGTCCCTTTCTGGGGAGGTAGAGTTGGGGTGAGAAGCTGGGGGCAGAGCTCAGGTTCCAGTTTGGCGGGGGCCCTGGGCCTTCTCTCCTGGCTGCCTCAAAGATGCGCCCTGGACAGGCCCCACGGCATCACTCTGCGCCCTCGGGGCCGGGGGGCCCTTGCTGCCCTGGGGGCACGTCCCAGTGATGCTGCTGGCCCAAGCTCATGGGGCACTTTCCCCTGGTGTGGCAGCTGCCTGTGGTGTCTGTGGTGCGAGATGCCGAAGCCCAGCTCCTGCCCGACGTGGGCGCCATCGTTACCTGCAAGGTAAAAGTAGCTGAGCGCCCAGCCCACTTAAGTGGGGAGCAGGTGGGGATGGGCTTGCCCCTTGCTGCGGGTGGGCAGCCCCTGTGCCCGTCTCCCTCCGTCGCAGGAGCTAGTGCAGGAGCCATGTGGTTGAGCCCTGGTTCTGTCTGGGTCCTGGGGAGCCCCTGCTCCCCACCAAGGGCTGCCCCCATAGCCAGCCACAGGGCTGCGGGCTCCCAGTGACCTACGGGGGTAACAGGGTGGTAACTCATCCACCTGCACTGGTGGCTAGGAGGACTGGGGGGGTGGGGGGGAAGGACACTGGGCTCCTTAATCCCTGGAGCTGGGGTTGCTGGAGCTGTTAGCTTGGGACAGAGGCTTTGCAAGGGGAAGGGCTGGCTTCTCTGCCAGTGCCCATGTGCTGGGTCGCTCTGGTTCAGGGGCTGATGGGCAACGGGGTGGCAGTGCCATGTGTGGCACTGAGCCGTGCTGAGCTGGTGCAGGGGCAGGTCCTGCACCAAGGTCTAGGCTCTGCTGACCCAGCCATGGGCTGGGCCCTGTCTCCCTGCAGGTGTGCAGTATTAACTCCCGCTTCGCCAAGGTGCACATCCTGTATGTCGGCTCCACGCCCCTCAAGTCAGCTTTCCGCGGCACCATCCGGTAGGCCCTGGCCTAAGCCAGGAATCCCCACCCCTTGCTGTGCCCCCTCCAAGGCAGCCTGGCCAGCTTGGTGGCTCTGGGGTCTCCATCTCTCCTTCTCCCCAGGCCCAGCCTCCTGTGAACCCCGGGGCCTGCACCGAGGTCCCACAGGCAAGCCTGGGTGGGCAGCACTGCCTACAGCTCTAGGGGTGGAACAGGCTGCACTCCCAGTGCTGAGCTCCCCGTCTCCCTTTACAGGAGGGAAGACATCCGAGCCACGGAGCGGGACAAGGTCAGCGGCAGCATATGACAACTGGCACCTACCTGTGCCGGCATCTCCCCCTCCTCTCACTGCAGCCAGGGGGGTGGCCGGGGGGAAAAGGGTGTTGCTGACCTAGAAGGTCCCAGCCATGGCTCCTGTCCCTTTGTGGGGGCTGGTGAAGGGAGGAGGGTCTATGCCCACAGAAGCCTGGACTGCCTGCGGCTGCTGTCAGGTCACGGGGCTCGGCAGCCTCCAGCATGGCTCCTGGTACTCATCCCAGGAGCCGGTGGCCTCCCCCACCCCCTAACCTGCTCACACTCCGCGACAGGTGGAGGTTTACAAGAGTTTCCGCCCAGGGGACATTGTCCTGGCTAAGGTGGTATCCTGCCCTCGCTGGGGTACGCGAGGAGGCAGTGGGGCCTGAGGTGGCTTCCGCCTTCTGGGGGGGGGAGCATGGGGCAGGGGGGGTCCTGCTCCCCCAGGGCATAACCTTGCAGGCCAGAGCCCTTTCCTTGACCACTGGAGCAGATTTCGCTGGGGGATGCGCAGTCCAACTACCTGCTGAGCACGGCTGAAAATGAGCTGGGTGTGGTGGTGGCCCATGGCGAGGCAGGTAGGAGCGGGACTGCAGCCCCAGCAGCATAGGCCCCTTCAGAGGCTGGGGTGGGCTGAGCTGTGTTTCCCCCCTCCCCAGGCTGCATGGGGAAACAGGAGGAGCTCTCCTGGTCCTAGTGGATCAGTGGTGTCCAGCAGGCCCCAGGCTCATGCAGGGCTGAGCATCAGGACACCTGGGTTCTCTTGCTGCCCCTGGGAGTTGCACGGCCCCTCCAGCCCCCACCCTTGCACTGGTGCTGGCAGGGGGACCAGGCAGGCCTGTCTGCGTTACCGGGGCTCTCGGTGACACTGCATTCGTCCCTAGGGGTGCGGCTGGTGCCCATCAGCTGGTGTGAGATGCAGTGTCCCCGGACGCATACCAAGGAGTTCCGCAAAGTGGCCCGTGTGCAGCCCCAGTTCCTGCAGACCTAGGCTCCCCTGTGCCTCCCGGCAGGACAGCCAGAGCCAGAAGTCAGCTGGAGCCCCCTTCACCGAAGTACCTGCAGCATCACCTGGACTGGTGCCCACGGGCGCTGGGCTGGGACTCAGGCCTCCCGCCACCACCTACTGGGAACTGGATGCAGCTCTGGCTCCCTGGGCCCTGCCCATCCTGCCCCCAGACAGGATTTTAGATTCCTGAACTGTGAACAATAAAGGCTTTCCTAACCCCTCCCCTACTTGGTGATTCCCAGCCCTGAGTGGGGGCTGGTTTAGAGGCTACCTGGGAGAAGCCATGGCCCTGCTGGGGTTGCGGCCTGTGCCTGCCCTACTACAGCACCTCCTAGCCCATCTACACTAGGCCATGCGCTTGAGGAGCAAAAGGCCAGGGCGCTGTGGGCTCCTGGCTTGGGCAGAGAGGCGACCTCTAGCAGCTGCAGTGTCTTCTAGCCTGGGTCTGTTGCTATGTGGAGGACAGACGGCAGGGGCTCAGCTGTGGCTGCGAAACCTGTGTCCCCTACTCAGGCTGGACCCCTCCCCCCTTTGGAGCAGGAAACAATGGTGGGCATTGAACAGCCCTTCTGGAGAAAGGGCCTGGGTCAGAGAACAAAAGCAGCTCCTTCCCCCTCCCCCACAAGATGAGTCTGCAGCTTAATCTCTGAGTCAGGCCTGAGGGTGAATGTGTAGGTGGGGGCAGGGGTCTGCACCCCTATATCAGGCACAGGGTTTATACAGGCCCTGGCAGGGCCCCTCTTTGTTCCAGGCCTGTGTTTATTCCTGGCCACAGGCCCCCAGCACTAGCTCGGGCCAGACAGGCTTGTGCTTCCAGCCTAGAGCAGAGCCTCAGATCACACCCAACACACTGCTATTGCACATCACTCCTTTATTGTACAGACACAAGATGCTGCGATGGCTGGACAGTGACGCGGGGCCCAGGAGCTGCCAGGAGCACAGGGGTCCTAGAGGGTGGGGGGCAGCAAAGCAGCTCTGGGCTCTGGGAATGTAACCGTGAGGAATCCCAGGCGCTGTGGCTGGGGCACAAGCAGGGCTGCCCCAGGCCAGGCACAGGGAGTCTAGCAGCAGGACTACAGGAGGGTGGGGCCAGAGCTGCCCAGGGGAGCCGGGGTCGCTCCGACTCCAACACTGGCTCAAAGTAGGCTAAAGGGCCCGGGCAGGTGTGGGGGCGGCTTGGTCCAGGTGGTCCCGGGAAGCCCCTCGCACCAGGCTCCGAGGTGGTGTTCCTAGGCTGCGGGTGGTGTGCGCGGGGGTGGGAAGGGGGGACAACTCTGCCATGGAGCTGCCCTCACTTCTTGGCCTTGCCTTGCGCAGCCACGGCCTCCATGGCCTTGCGCACAGTCTCCTCGTCACCCAGGAACTGCATCGGCTTCACGGGCTTTAGGTTCTTGTCCAGCTCGTACACGATGGGGATGCCCGTGGGCAGATTCAGCTCCATGATGGCCTCCTCCGACATGCCTGCAAGGCAGGGCAAGGTCACAGGCCGCCCCACCCTCTCCCCCAGGGCGGCCGGTGTGGGGGTGCCGTTCCCAGCGCTGCCCCATCCCCACAGGGCCCCATGGCCCCTCGTACCTTCCAGGTGCTTGACAATGCCACGCAGGCTGTTGCCGTGGGCAGCCACCAGCACCCGCTTGCCCTCCTTGATCTGTGGGACAATCTCCTCGTTCCAGAAGGGCAGGGCACGGGCAATGGTGTCCTTCAGGCTCTCACAGGTGGGCAGCTGGTCCTCAGTCAGGTCAGCGTAGCGGCGGTCCTGCAACACCCACCGCCCCCATCAGCCCGGGCCCCAACAGACCCTGCCAGCGCGAGCGAGCCGTCTCCCCCCGGGCGGACCCACCTTGCTGATGGCAGCGTAGAAGGGGTGGTCGGGCAGCATGGGGGGTGGCGGGATGTCGTAGGAGCGCCGCCAGATCTTGACCTGCGCCTCGCCGTGCTTGGCGGCCGTCTCCGCCTTGTTGAGGCCCGTCAGGCCGCCGTAGTGGCGCTCGTTGAGGCGCCAGGTGCGCACCACGGGCAGCCACATCTGGTCCACGGCGTCCAGCACGATCCACAGCGTGCGCACCGCGCGCTTCTGCACCGACGTGAAGCACACGTCGAACTCGTAGCCCGCGTCTGCGGCGTGCGGGGGCAACCATGTCACACGGCCTCCGGAGCGACTCCGCATCCCGCCCGCACCCCCCCCCGGCCCCG